TCACTCGCATCTCGTCGTTACCACTGGCCTTCCACAGCCGACGCTTGCGTTCGGCTTCCCTGGCTCGTGCCTTGTCGGTGTTGACAACCCCATTGATTGAGACGATTGGCTTCGCTAACCCTCGCAACGCGGGTGACAGCCGGGAAAGGTACGCGCCCACCAGCGGGAAGAATGCCGCGACGGCGTTCCGTCAGTCGGTGCAATTGCGCGGCAAGCAGCGGCGCACTGTCAAGATTGTCGGCGTCGCAAGATCGGCTCAAGGTGCGCGCAGCGTCCTGAATCACGGCTTCTTCTCGCCGGTAGATGGAGAGAAGTAACGTGGTTAGATGATGGCCACGTAAGGAGTGGGCTCGAGCATAGCGAGCAGGAGAGAGGGTGAAGCCACTGACGCGCGGAGAGCGTGTGACAGGCGAGAGAGAGAGAGAGATACCACCGCGCACTGCTAGGAGGGCGGGACCTACTTGGCACCACTCCAACACTTGCGGTGGGTACAGCGGGAGGGGGGGGGCGGAACTGAGGGACAGCGTTACACAGGCTAGTCAAATAGCAGCTTCACATCTAAAACTATTGGAGCTGTTGGCTTGAAAAATGTTCTTCACATATGACGGACTTTTGCCTATATACACAAAACATTATTACATAACAGTTTTGCTGCAGTTTTAGTAAGAAATATTAACGAAATCAGCACGAAGCTCCGTGATAATAAAGAAATTATTTTCCGTGTGCTTTTAAGCGCCAGACTTTTCAAAATTTTTGTGTATATTACTCCATGTTAGGTTAACAAATGCGCTGAACGAAATAGCTGAGATCTACTGCAAAGGTTACCTCGAAGAAAAGACATTTCCTTAAAATGTGCAATATTTTATATGCCATTAAAAACAAAACCACCTCCGATTTTTCAAGCTCTTCACAATTAAAGCCAAGTCAATTTATAGCATAATCTGAAAAAAAATTCCCGTTATTTTTCTGAGCTTGGAGTTATCAAGCACGAAAAGAGGCCAAATGTACTCAAACTGAGAAACGACAACACCGAGAAAGCACGGAGCAACAGTGTCCATCTTCCTAATTTCTGTGTCGTGAATGTGTTCTGATACATACGCAACAGGTTGACAGAAAAAAACCTGCCCTAAATTGCAAATTTCTTCATGTGCGAGCGCGCACGCGTCGCCCTGCCGTAGGGACTAAGCGCAAGATTTCTAGAAGTATAGTAGACTCGGTCTCTCGGAAAGAACTGCTTATTCACCCGTAAACAGAGTTTCAGAGTCACAAGTCAAAGAAAAGTTACAGTTACTAACGTCCCTGAAGCAGTTGCACGTTTCTTGCTCCTAATGAAGTAACCTTGTGATATAGGCGGTGAGGGGGTGTTAGTGGCACCAAAGGTGACTGTCGTGGAAAGTGTGGGTAGCACCTACGAAAGTTGCGTTAACCAACCAGCTGTACTATTGGTGGTGACCTTGATGCAGCACCATGCTTGCTTGTTACGCATGTGTCACTGCATTTTGAAAAACAATGTTTCAGGCTTCTTTGCGGGTTTCACGGTTGTCACTCTATAAAACTAACCTGATTTTCGAAAGAAATGTTTTTCATGTTTGAGAGAATCATTTTGAGCTGTCAAAGCACCGCTGCGGGGTATCATGCGCTGCGTATTTCGTAAATGGATACGTCTATTCCGGCACTTTCTTACTTGCACTGTTCTTGTAACAACCAATCGTGGCGCTCTTGGCAGACACGCGTGTCGCGACTGAAAGCACTGAACGGATTCACTGCAACATGTTTGTCGTCATTTTTGCCCTGAAGGCGCAGAAGCTGAATCAGCGTCACATTCTGCAGCTTTGTATTGAGACCATCTATTTTGCCCATTTAATAACTGATGTGGCGGAGATGAGGAGGTTGTGTAATTTTGAGTGATGCTTTAGTACATCCACAATTCCATCGCAAGAACTCTTGCCGCACCCCGTTGCAGGAAATAGCCACTGCACCGAGGCGTGCTTGGTCGTTGTAAGTTCGTTGAGCTGGTACTTGCTCTTGAAATGGCTTGGGGCACCTAGGGACACCATCATCGACTTATGTAACATGCGCATATAAAGAAGCAACACCTTTCAGCCACTCGTGCACCGTTGCGATGGCGTAGAATGCATGGGTGGAGTCAGGGCTATAGAGTGATCGCTTATAAGGGCGTGCCTGCGCTTCCTTTTCAAGTCGTGACGACACATGTGAAGATGGAGAGTTCGGTTTTTTGCCAAAATATGACTGAAGCTCCCCGCCCCCCAACAGAACTACGGTTAGTTTTCTCCGAAGTCAAAATTCAGGCGAACACAAGCTTTCTCGAAGGATTTGTTTTGCTTCACTAACGGCTCTGTCCTGAGCGCGTCCAGTGTACTCGTGTGACACCCAATTTTCGAAGCACTATGGAGCGCGTTCCTCAAAAGCGTTCAGACTTGCTGCTTTTTTGACCGAATCTTCTTGCTTTCCGGTTGCTAACACAACTACTTCTTTGGAAATTTGAAGAACAGCCACCGTAATAACTTGAGGTGGGGTTCACAAGTCCAACAACTATAAAAAAACACTGTCTGGGCAGTGGTTTACACATGGTCTGATTACAAAGGTCTTCGGCGCTATTTTATGATGAAAGTGTTTTATACCGGGGTTCACCAAGACTTCTGGGTCGTACAGTACGGCACACTGTTAGGGAGAACCGGCGAACGCGTGACACGAAGATTTGTACACATCCCTCCGCCTCTCTCTCCTCTTTCATCCCCTCTGTTTAAAACAAGGACCCGTGATCGCAGAGCTAGACACGCTTTTACTCAAATAAAAGTTAGCTTCGAATCCAACTTTCTTCTCTTGTTTCTCTACGTCTGTCTAGCCTTCCCCAAGCCCCTGCTCCGTTTTATTTTTAAGATCCTCCGAGGGGAAAAAGACGCGTGCACAATGCGTGCTGTCGCTTACAACACGTACAATGTTTGTACCGGCGAGCCCAGCACGTGGTCAGTTTCCAAACACACGGACCATGCTTTGACGACTTTCTCGTTCATGATGCAGCTCCGCCATTTGGACCAGTTAGCACGTCGATGACACCAATGGGAGACGAAGCCTGCTGATGCAACATGCAAATATGCACGTGCTTCCATCTACGTCGTTTCCATCTCTGTGTGGCGTTGCGGGTGTACTGCACATTCAGGTACTTCTGAAGAACGTTTACAGCAGCATTTTGGAGTCTTCTCCGTGAGGTGCCTGGATGACTGGACGAAACCACGCGATCCAGGTGGCCCGACCGTGACACGCCAAGGCAGGGTATGCAGAAAGCCGCTGCGCAGCTATCCGTTTGTGTGCACACTGATCCGTCGGTGTACACTTGTAGGTGGCTGCGGTACATGGTGCTCAAGTGGTCCAGCGCAAAAAATTTTGCTTCTGTGGCTGGAATGGTGCGCTTCGCTGGTAGATTGGGTACGCTGAAGTTACACGCAACATCTACAAAAGACCATGGCGGGTCCATAGGGCGCCGTTTAGGCAGTTTCAAGCCTCAATATCGAAATGTGTTTAGTGCCGCGTTGAAATGTGAGCCAGTTCTTGCTCTTAGCCGCTGGAGAAGCGCCGTGCCTGCGAAGGACTCGCCCAGTCTTGAAAGCTGCGTCAATAGGCCTGAGACGCCAAAAGGCGGAGCGGAAGAGACTCGGCTTCATTAGTGACCTTCGTGTTTGAGACCGCCTGAGGGGCTCCCATCGCCAAGCGAAGACCCTCTCTGTGCAGTGTGACTAGGCGTTCGAACTGGCTTGGTGATGGTGATATCAGGGGCAGCTGATAAAGAATGGGGCTTGTTATAAGCACATCATTCAATTTAAGCATGGACATAGGATTGTTGCCCCAACGGACCCCTGCCATGCGACGAAGAGCGTTGATCCTTTGCGCTGATGCAGTGACTATAACATCAACCGCACGTCGCCATAATAGCTTGTTGTCGATGGTAATGCCCAGGAAACGGACATTTGTTGCACAACGAATTGATTGACCTCGAATATTCAGCGACAGACGTGTTGACTTCCGTCGTTCTCCCGGGAAGAGCATGAAGGCCGATTTTTCCGCTGATAAAGATAGGCCAAGTGTCAACAAGTCACGCTCAATGATTGATGTGCAAAGGGCAGCGATGATCCGCACCTTGCGAAAAGGCTGTCATAGGCACCGGACAGTTGAGGACGTCATCTTTCCTGAAGGACCCGCGGCAACTAGGAGGAACGTGCAACGAACTTTGTTAGTCTTCCTGCGAAACACTAGGCTGTCTGACACGTGGTGACATTTTCCAAATTCAGGAGATGCTCAGGCGGAACAATTGCCGGCCATGCAGGCCAGGCTAACCCCACCTGCTGCAACACCACCACCACCACCACCCACCACCACCTGAATGAACTGCCGCGACGTTTGTCGCTGTTGTCCAAACCCTGTGTCTTGTGTGTGGTGTAAGGTGTGCGACCAACTGCGCTTCGACATCAAGAACAAAGCGAAGCAGACCAACGCGCTTCTGGTTGTTTGGAGCACGTTCGGCAGCATGGACTTAAAAGGCGGCGTCAAGGACAACGTTAACAGAGACCACGATGATGACGAGAGACTGCCGGAGTGGATACTTGTTTATCATCTTCTTCACAACTACCAATGCCTAGCCAATTGTTCACCAATCAGTTGCTAATCAATAACTGATCGATATTCCATAAATTCTAAAACAATCTAGGGTTTGCTTAACGTCACCAAGAATACACAAAGAACCAATAACTAATCAATATCCAATTGGTAAGCGATCGGTATAACCAATAAAGTATAAGATGACTGCATAGTAAAGCACAGGTGGGTATAAAATATGAGGCCAGGCAAAAGGGCGACGCCAACAGCGCGGCTTACCCAATTTTCGCATCACAATGCTTTTGTGCTATTACAAATGTGCCTATAATATCCACTTGACTCGTTGGGGTCGTTTGTCGCTGGTCTGCATGCAGGCGCAAGGCATCCGAGCTGTCCATACGCAGCGAGGATGAGAACACGTCATCTATGTTCCACTTTACGTCCAAGGTGCGTTCGATGAAGCATGGCATCGCCAGCAGAAAGCTGACTCCACTCGAAAAGAAGTACCTGCTGGCAGCTGAGCACGGTGACATACCCACCGTGTCAAGGTACGTGATATTCCTTCTATAAGGCGTGATTCAACTTACACAAGTGCAATAAATTGAAACGTGTACAGTGGTGTAGCAAAAAAATGCTAATTTCTGAACCACCTTTACAAAGGAGATGTACTCTCGCCACCAGCTTGAACAAATGTGCTCTTACTTGATTATTTCATGACCGAAACTAATAAACTCATGGAATATCAAATGCATCAAGCCAGCCACTTTCATGAGTACGTGTATTTATAGAAAGGATAGATCTTTTAAAGGGGCCCTCTGACGATTTTCAACCCCTCAGTTTTTAATCTTGGACTGCATAGACTTACGCACCGGAAAAATGAGTGCAGCAAGAACGGCAGCGATAGCGGCACGCAGTAGGAAGTTATTACGTTTAAAAAGTTCAAAATACAAGGAAAAAAATGCCTACCCTCAACTCGAATTTCGCGGGGTGACATGACCACATTTCAATTTCACTCTCTGCTGTGACGTTGGAGGGGGCCTCCAATGACATGGGCTGAAAGCTCTTACGTAGAGGAAGCTCGTACACCATTGTTGCCTGTTCAGTCACATGTGTTTACGACGCTGTTATTATAGCAACTGGCAACGTGGTGCCTGACCACGCCATTTTGTTTACGTGGTTGAACAGCTGGGTGAGGCTGCTGGAAATGAGCCTCCCCGGCTTGTCAGAACTAGAGCAGGTCCTTTCGCTTCGGAGTGAGGCTTTACGCGTCCTGTGATAGGCTGAGATCATCGTCGTCATTTAGCCCGCGTAGTTCTAGCGAGCGCTACTGTGCGCCGACGTGGTCGGCAGCAATGAGGTGACTTTAGTGCACGAATGGAATACTAAATCATTTGATATTGGTGCTTGGACCTATGCTTAAGTTATCCCCGGCCATTGGTCTATGCAAAACACATACAAAAAATAGGTGTTTCAAAAGTGTTCGAGGGCCCCTTTAAGATAGAGGACAGGCTTGAAAATAGTTAACGCCCAGCCGGCCAGTCAATTTAGGCTGAATAATATGAATGTGTAACTGACCGCAGTCAATACTAACCGGCGTGATATCGAAATATTGGCATCCGTGTTTCTGGTACACTCTTAGTCAAATCCTGGCTGGACTACACGCCTGCAGGCAGGAAATCAAGTTCAATTATCACCGCTTCTACGCGGCTCCGTAGCCGTGTCCCAGAGAAACCGACCCGATTCGAAGGGGCCTTCAGAATAGCCGGGACAAGGATTTCCCGCGATTTTAGGTGAAATTTCATCTGCGAAATTACGGCCTGCGGCTAGGCGTGACATTTCCGCAGGCAGCCCGGCTCTGATGCGATGGCGGGAAAAAAAGCATTATTTTCGCCTTTCAGAGCAGTTTCTCGCCGATAATGCGGTGAATTTATTAACTACAGGTAATTAGAAAACCATCAGTGTCACAATAGTCTACATCTTCGATAATAAACGTGCAAAGCAAACACAGCCCTGGAATCGGGCTCGGGACCGCATGCACGTGAAGCAGATGTCTTACTCGTTGCACCACAGTGCCACCGCATGCAGGCGAGTCTTTTTGCGGTGATGAATATCTACCATGTGGCTCTTTGCAAACCATCGGCGGAACCTTGAACTGTTTTTGTGCCATATGCATGCATTTGATCGGGGAATAGTTTGTAGGGCTTCTCGAACTCCGGACAACCACGCTGAGCGCTTTCGGCTCCGACTTCGGTTCGCGGTGCGCCTTTTCGCAATAACGATTAACGCGTGTCTCTGCGTCGTTTTCGTGCTTCCCCTTGAACCGCGGGTGTTAGGCTCACCTAATTCGCAAACGAGGCTGTGTTCGCTTGTCAAAACCTGCGTATGTCTCGCACGTGCGTTTGCTGTGAGAAATCTCGGTGATTTGTGTCAGGAGGTACAAGCGTGTCAGTGACAGACGCCTATTCTAAGATGTTTGAAGACAATGTGCTTTCGCACGTAAGCGTTGCATGGGTATTTTAGCGTGCCTACTCTAACATTTGCATTTTGTACGCGCGAACAGCCGTGAGCTGCACGCTGGGGCAGCAACGCGCTTTAGCATTTCGATGATTAATTACTCCGGGAATTGGAATTTATGCGCATAATTTCGCGATGTAGAGTGATTTTACTCATTTTAGTCTTTAACTGATCTTATTTATGGATGATCATGATGATGATCAAAACTTTATTACTCCCAGAAGAGGGAATCATATTTATGGGGAATGGCTACTCTTGCCTTTATTCAGCATCGCACCACTGTTCAAATGAATGTCGAAACGCGCACCAACGTCAAGTAGGACGTACACAAATTAGGAACGGACAGGTTGGTCTCCTTTCAAATAAATAATGCTACCGCACATCTCTTTCGTGAAAGTCTGCGTGCAGTTGGGGTCAAGAAATGGTGTAGAACGAACCTCAAAATCTTTATTTTTACTGCATGACATTGCTCTTTATATAACGAAGATTTTTATAGCTGGTACATTATCTCCATAGCCGTACACTGGTTGTCTTGGTCGTGGTTCACTATTACAAATCCGTGCTGGAATATGAGAACTGTTCATGATATTCAAAAAAGTGAGCAAACGTCGGTGGCATATGCTCTCCTGCTGACTTCTACACCTGACTTCTGATTTCTGTACTTGATGTTTGCTTTCATCATCAAATTACGCAACCACTAATCAAACAACAACCAATCGATTTTGAATTTTGATATTTTTCTGTCTCACTGCCTTCCGCTTTTTTTTCCATGCTCCCCTCAAGTCATCAGTTCAACTTGTTTCGTAGAACATGAGCAACATAGGCCACTGTTTCAGTAAGCTGTCGCGCATGCAATGGTACTCTTTCGTTTAGTGCATTACACAATGTCATACCTCGACAACTGATACACGGAAAGCTCGTACTCTTTTATTGAAATCAACAGTAGGACTGCACATCCCAGTGTTTGCCCAAATGCAGGGAGAAGTTTGATATCTTCAATAAAGTGTCCCGTATGGCACTGGAAAATGTTGCCGTCCCAGACCACCTTGTAGAAAAAATTTTAGAATCTCACGTACAGTGGGAATCAATGATATGCGAAGCACGAATGAGAAAGGTTGGTGAGTCACTTTAAAATCAGCTCAACGCTACGAGGTGTAGGTAAATGATGCCGCACATAAATTCCGTGTCATGATTATCATGTTTCGATGTGTTGTCTGCCTTTGTCATCTATTCACGTCACGTGATAACAAATTAAGTATATGCGGAGATAGCGAAACGGCGGCGAGCACGCTATAAGCGTGGTGTGTTGTCTTTTTCGTGCATGACACGCGTGTCAGGATCATCATGTTTGCACCAGTCATATATCTCGTCATCCATCGACGTTACGTAACACCAATTTTTGTATATGTGGAGCTAGCCAAATGGCCGCGAGCACATCATCAAGGGCTCAATATATTCCAATGTAGCGTTGACGCGCGCGCACGCTCGGCACAGCGACGCTACGTTAGCAAAACGCGAGCACTTTATAGTTTGACGCCTGGCGCGACCGGTGCGAGCAGCGTCAGTCAGCGCGGCCCGACGGCAAACGGCGCGAAATCGTGCCGATGCGTTACCCAGACAAGCCTGCGTCTCCCTCTTTTCATGACGGAGGGATGCCGGATGCGCTGAAACGCGCATGCGTCAAAGCAACGCAGCGCGCCACACGCGAGTTTATTACAAAACTGGTGCCTGGCATCGCAGCGCTGGCGTGACACGACGAAATGAACGCCAGCGAGCACGCGCACCGCGTCACGTCGAAATGTATTGGCACCTTGACTGTGGCATGTAGTCATGTTCTCACATGACACGCATCTCATGATTATCATGTTTGAACCAGTCACATACCTTCGTCATTCATTGACGTCACGTAATACCAAATTTGGCATATGCGAAGCTATAGTAATACGGCTGCGAGTGCATCATGAGTGTGGCATGTATTCATGTTGTTACATGACACGCATGCCGTGATTATGTTTGGATGTGTCATTCGCCTATGTCGTCCATTCGCGTCGCGTAATACCGAGTTTATACATGTGAAGCTAGCGATACGGCCGCGAGCACATCATGAGCGTAGCATGTCGTCATGTTGTTATATGACACGCATCTCATGTTTATCATGTTTGCAGCAGTATCATACCTTCGTCACCCATTCACATCTCGTAATACCAAATTTGGTATAAGTGAATTTTGCGATACGGCCGCTAGGGCGTCATGAGCGTGACATGTTGACATGTGGTTAAATTACACGCATGTAATGGTGTTCATGTTTGCACCAGTGACTTACCTTCGTCATCCATTCAGGTACCACAATACCAAATTTGGCATATAGGACGCTTGCGAAATGGCCGCGAGCGAAATGGCCTGCGGCTCAAATTACACCGGCTGCCGCTATTACCGCCGTGCTGTTCCGTAGAAGCAAAATAAAAGCGAAAGAGGAAGATGTCACGAAACAAAACGAAAACTTAAAAAGAAGATATCAGTGCAGAAAAGCGTTTACGATAAATTTGAAGGGGCGTTAATACATATCTCTGTTTTTGCTAAGGCAAGAAAAGGAGGAGGAGGGAGTCGTAGCGGCTGTTAGTGGGGTGGCATGCCCCCCACCCCTTGTTTATAAGCTGTCTGGGCGACGGTCCTCACTGTCACTCTGGTTCTGGAGCCCTTGACCACCGCCACCTGAAGAAACTTTGTCAAGGCCTGAAATCTCTACCACATATGTCAACGGGCTGACGACACTGGTTGCTTTGAACGCGGTGGTGGCACACAACGCCACCGACGCCAAAATTCAGTGGCGCGTTCGCATCGGCGTTGCAGTCCCTGCAGAATTACTGCGCTTCGACTAGAAACAACGAATGTTGCATCGTTCTCTGTGTGCCGTCAGACTCTTCGTAGGTGTGATGTGGGCTGCTTGTGGTTGTGTTCGTGTTTGTTGGTTAGTGACCAGATTGCGAGCAGCTGCGGTGCCAAGAAAGTGTGTCCACATTTCTGTGGGAACCGC